CGTCATTGCCTGTGCAAGCGCACCGAAGCCTATTACCCGTACTGCAGGCATTGCAAGAAGTGGTGGACCGAACCAGTGGACTCTTCAGCAGGGGTGCAGGCCCAACGCACCGACTGGGCAACTCTTCGCCGTCAAGCTGCAAGAGTGGCAGCGGGTCAAAAGCTTGCCCCTGCTTGTAGTGCACTGACCACACCCTACAAGGCTGACCTCGAGCAGATCCTCCAGGTGTGCGAGAAGACTGACAACCAGGAGATGCTGCAGCAGGCGCAGCGTCAGCTCAAGGAGCTCAGTACTGCCTCGATCCAGCCCCAACAGCGTGCTGACGCCCGCCATAAGGAGATCGCCAGGATCGAGAATAAGCTTGGCAAAGACCTTCGTGATGTTGCATGCCATGTAGCAGAAGATGGTCAACTAGAAAGCCCAATTGGAGACGACTCTCGAGGAACTGAACAAGTACGACCGCAGCTACAATGCAGCCATCGTAAAGCTTCACATCGACGTCGTGCCGCCATATGGTCCACACATACCTGTTCCTGACACGCCGTCAGTCAACACCACCAGCACCTTGGAGGGCCGCCTCACGAGATTGGAGGTTGACGATGATGGGTTGTTTAGCTTGGCAAAGTTAGTGGACGTCGCCCAGACGGACATCGAAGAAGCCCGCCGTCGCAAGGACGAGATGGCAGATCATATCAAGGAATGCTGCACCAAGCTCTTCGGCGACATCAATCGGCGGCGAGCGAATGCGGCACTCTAGAAGGGCAAGACTAATTAGGTACCCCCCTTGTTTGATCGATCTCCTCCAAGATGGCTCCAAGAGCGCCTCCTGGGCTTCCAAGTGCGCCCCAAGAGGGCCCCAAGAGGCGCCCAGGAGGCCTCCAAGGGGCTCCCAAGAGACCCCCACGAGGCCCCAAGAGGCTCCCCGAGGCACCCAAGACGCTCCAAGTGGGCAGCGTCTCTGGATGGGCTGGTGAGGTTACGCGAAGCGTCAAGAAATTGGATGTGATTTCTCATGCCAAGGGGGCTGCTGATTAAGAGGCCCGTCAAGCTGGTCACAAAACTTGGCTAGAGTGGATGAAAATGTCGAGAACGTGGTCGTCAGGGCAGCCACCTGGTGGGCCCCAGCCACCACCTTACCCTCCCATGGGGGGAAGTCGTGTCGGATCCTGGATCCTTCATGTCGGCTGAAATGTCTGTTTAAGTGCTCGGATGAGTGGCATGCTTAGGCCGCCCTCCGCTCTGGCCCTGCGCGCCTGTCTGTTGCTGCCCGCCGGCTGCTCATCATCGAATTCTTCGGCGTCTGAGCGTCCCTCCTTCCTCTCGGCCTCCCCCCTCCCTCCATGCACGCCGGCCAATTCGCTAGCTTGTGCCCCTAACTAGCTGTTCGCTGCATCGGATCTCGCCGCCTCGCCGCTGACGAAAAAGCTTGGCATGCCCAGGATGAAAAACCGAGCCCCGCACCCCTGGTGGGAGGTTCGAGCCCCCGGAGCCGTTGCCAGCTTCGACGGCGCAGGAGGCCCTGCGCGCTGCCCGCCCCTTTCCCTGCGCGGGCCGCTTCGTCGGTCGACGGCTCCCACGCCTGCGGCATCAAATTCCCTTCGGATGGTGTCCTCGAGGTCTTGGGGGTCCCAGGGGGGTCCTTTTCCTCCTCCTTCTCCTCCTCCTCATCTCCGCCTCCTCCTCCTCCTCATCTCCGCCTCCTCCTCCTCCTCCTCCTCCTCCTCCTCCTTCTCCTTCTCCTCCTCCACCTCCTGGTCGTCGTCGATGTCTTTCAGGGTCGGCGGCACCGGCCATCAGGCCTTCACGATATTCCCTTCGGATGGTGCCCTCGAGGTCTTGGCTACCAGGACGTCGATCTTCGAGCGCTCGGGTCTGCAGCCTGGTCAGATGATGACTACCTACCAAGCCACCCCAACCCAACCCGAAGACCCGAATTTCGCCCGAGTTTCGGGTTGGGGGGGGGTACGGGCTTCATATGTATTCTTTCACTGTTCCCCGACCCACCCCCCACTGGAGATGGAGGGCAAATCGGGGTCTTCGCGTTGGGTTGGGGTACTTTGGTGGGCGGTGAGATGAGGGTTGGTCTGCTGATCATGCTCGCAAGAAGCCCGACGGTGGACACAACCCCATCGGCTTGCTTTTTTTTTGTTTCGCTCCTGACCTGCGGCTCCTCTCCCCCCGTCCACGGGTTGCCGGTCCCAACCGGGCGGCGCGCCGTGGTGCGAGGCCGGGGTATATCCATCACCACCGCACTGGGTTGCCACGTCCGGGCTGAATTTGACAAGTCGAAATTATTCGCAATCAGACTGGTAAAGTCTCACTTCGGAGCTACTCAGCTTAAAGCTGTGGTGCTCCATTATGCTTGGGTTGAGGTTTTTGCACACCTTCTTGACGACTCGGGCATCCTCCCAAGGGAAATTGTCCAGGTATGTCCTATTTCGGATATGCTGCAAGGCAAGTTCACGTCCGACTGGCAGTCCATGCGTTTTCGCTGGCTCCGAGATCTGCTGAAAGTGCTCCACAGGAACGCCAACGAACGCCCCAATGTCACGAATTACTGACTCTGTGTTCAGGACGATGTTCTCATATTCAACAATTTTGATTGTCGCGCCTTGTGCTGCGAGGTTCGCATAGCCCTGCACGAATGCATTCCAAACTCCCGTGGGTCCATTGAACGTCCGCGTTGCGTCCATTTCTGTATGATACAAGCTGCAAATCGAGCTTTCGTCACTAAGCCAATTTATATAACTGACGCACTTGCTTAAATCATACGGAGCCTTGATCCAACCTGACATATGCGCTAAGGGACTTCGAACGACGGCAATCAAATGCAGACCATTCGGATGTACATCTTGCGGCGGAGTATGCTTCCAGAAATGGCAATGGTAACCTTCTTTGTCCGAGCCAGGGCACATTTGGTGAAATACTTCTGCGCCCAAATTCTTTGTCAATAGTGCCCCCAACAGGTTTGTGCCCGAGTCGAACATACCAAGTATTTGGACCTTGGGCAGCATGGCGGTATTGTTGATGTGAGCGTGGGAATGTGATCGCATCGCGTCCGCAACAATTTGACGGTCAAAAATATCCATGCCTGCCCACAGTTGATTAATCGAATCAGAACCAATATGATCATCCCCCGGGTTCTGCAACGTAAGACTCCAAACCCTCCACGGCAAGAGAAACAGCGCCTGCAATTTCATGCACGCCATCCCACTACTCTCGAAACACGAGTGCGAAGCACCAGCGCAGCGAAAAAGCATGCACTACGGAAATATGCAGCAATCTGGGTTCATCCAAAAAAACTTGAGCCAAAATGGCTACGGAACCCCATCGGCTTGCTTATGGTCGCCTGTCGGCCGTGGGTCTGTGCTCACCGCGGGTTTGCGAGGTCGTGAGAGTCAGAGAATGCCAGAGAGTACTTCGCCGCTAGCTCCTTCGCTTCATGTTTGGAGGCAAGCGGTTAAGAGTGAGGTTGCGGTGGCCAGTCAGGACTGTTCGCATTCGGTGCTCTGGGATTCACCCCAGTTCTACGCACTGGTCGGCCTCGATCTCCTCTTAGACCGCTGCCGCCAACACAACCTCCCCATGCAGATCGCCAGGGTCTGCTACTCGGCGTACCGCTCCTACAGGTACATGGCCATGAGCGGCCGCGTCGGCGGACCAAAAATGGGTGGCGCGGTTTAGTTGCAAAGTGCGGCTTCGCGACCGCGTTCGTCCGCGTCTTTGCATTAGCGGCCTTAGACAGGCTCAACTTGCCAAGATCAGTCTCGCCAAAGATCTGCATAGACGATTCTACGCTTTCCTGTTGCGGCCGTCCGAGAGCAGCCGTCAACGATCTGCTCGAAGGGTCGATCACATTGCAAATTGCAATCGAATCTGATCTTG